ATAAGTATTCTATATATCTGCAAAGTTTCCAAATGTTCGCATGACAAAGAATTAAATTTATTTAAATATATTTTTATTAATTCACTAGATTTATTATGCATGTAATGCATATTTTTTTATTTAAAATCCTAATCGTTACACCTACGGAGCTTTATTAACTCATGTGGTAATACGATTATTTTAGGTCTACAAAGATTTAAAAATCTCACATGACTTAAAGATCTCATTAGTGAATGTGATTATAATTTAAAATACATTAATTTAATTTTATTAAAAAACATTTATTATTTTATTTACAAAAATCTTTTATTTATTTAATATATACAGTAATAATCGCAACATTTGTAAGGATTTATTATCTCACACGATGATGTAATTAATTTAAATCTATATGAAAATTCTTGAAATCTCACATAAGACTTAAATATTTTATTAATTTAAATTATAAAAAGAGAATTAATTTAATTATGGCCTTTGGAACCAATATTGTCATATACAAAATTGATCCTCATGTCTGTAAAATCTTATTGATTTTCACGATATAAGATCATTTTAAATTTAAATGCTTATAGAGATTTTTAAAATCTCACACAACAAATAAATAAATATGAATATGTTCTCTTATCATTATTATAATCATTATGATTATTATATCTTAGATTTAATTAGCTATTTAACAAACAAAATCCTTTGGTAATTGTCGATTGCTTCTTTTATCTTTTACCCAATTGTTATTCACAAAATTGCCCCATGACAATATTATACTTACAAGTGATTATTACAGAGCATTGTTCCAAATAAAATATCTGTTACTTGTGTTGATTCAAAAACCAAAATTGAATTAACATCAATTTAAATTCAAGATAAATGAGATCACAATGAGAACCAAAGGTCAAAATTCGGTACATAAACATGTGTGTACAGTGCTGCAAATTTCATTTTGTTGATTCATAATTTGAAATAGCACAAAATGAAGACATTAATAAGATTTAAGTGTAATTATAAACAGTCAAAGAGATTAACAATTTGATAAAAGGAAACATTCCACAATCTAAATCAAACATATGCCTATAAAAAAAAGAAAACTTCCCTGGAATACATACACACATTTTTACATACCTATATTCAACAAAGTCATACTCAAGACAATTTTGAGTGAAATTTAAATAGGATAGGGTGTAAATGAAGAAGGTCGTATAATCAAAACATTGAAACCCTTCACAATTAATAATTATTAAACTGTGAGATATTAAGAGCTTTAGTATAATCAAACTCTTAAAACAGAATTTCGTCCACTAGAAAGTAAAACTCGAATGACATACATGAGTAAACCTAATATGTTTCTCAAAGCATTTAATCCACGCATTCAGTACAAACATCCCATAAAATCTGAACGAAACACATGTAGAAAATTTTCTCAAGGTACACAGAATTGTAATCAAAAACTTTCTTCAAAACTAATCCAATTTTATAGAGTAAAATATGAAATGGATCATGGAAGCGTAAAGATTGATTCCAAACCTATTGCAGCAAGTGGAAATAAGCAACTTCAACTGTCTCTTCTTGTTTTTCGTTCTTCCTCTTTGCTTCGTTTCCTCTGTCCTATTTGTTCTTCATTCCCATTCCAGCAAATCTCTCTCAATCTCTCAGTCACCCCTTCTCAATTCTCTCTCCCAAAAATCCAATCCTCTCAAGCTTTCAGTCTCCCTCCAGGAATCCTGTCTGACTCTCTCTCGTTGTCTCAACACTTCGGTCCCTGTTCAGAGTCTCTTGCTTAAAGCCCCTTTTAGTTACTTCTCCAGAAATTCCCCAGAACTCTCTCTCAATCTTCGATTCTCTTCCTTTTTCTATCTCTTTCTCAGACTCTCCCAAAAACTCGATCCTCTCAAGCTCTCGGTCTCCCTTCAAGAATCCTCTTAGACTCCCTCCCGTTCCATTTTCATCCTCCCAGTAGAAGTAAAATACCTGGTCTCCCCATATCTTTGCGTGAGATCCGTTCATCGTTGAAGTTTGATCTTCCTCTTGCCGTGCACGTCTGGGTTCTCTCTCTGCCTTCGTCTGCTTCCTCTCTACGTGTAGCCGAAAGTACTTTGGGCTGTGGGTGCATGTCTCTCTGCTCTCTCTCTGTTTCTTCTGCTCTCGATGTGTTTTTTTCTGCTCTGCTCTCTCTCTCTCTCTCTCTCTTCTGCTCTATGCTTAAACGAAGAAAAGGGATGAAGGGTTTTCACTTGTTATTTAAAACAATAATCATAAAATATTTAAAAATTATTTTTATTTTTTATTTTTTAAAATAATATTTTATTTTTTTATTCTCCAAAATACTTTTTAAAAATATATTATTAAATAAATTTTTTTATTCTCTTATTTTAAAGATCAACAGAACAGGTTTTCAAACAAGCCCTTAAATTTTTTTAATGTTTTTCAATTCTTTTGCCTTTTTTGTCAATTAGTTTCAAAAATTAAATTGAAAAAAATCTAATTTGAATTAAATAAGAACCTCTCTTCTTCTTTTTTTTAAATAAAAAATAACAAGATCTAAGAAAAAAATTTAAGGAAAAAAAATAGTCAGCCCTGAAAAGTTAATTTTTAATATTTTGAATTGTTGAGATAATTTAAAAGATATTTTTTAAAGAATTAAGAAATATTTTTTTTAATTTTTTTAGATTATTATATTTTTTTAAAATATAATCCTAAAAAGGATTAAATTTTATTTTTATTTTTTTTGGTTGAATTTATTATTATTTTTATTAAATTTAAAAAATGTCCAGATAAAATACAGTGTTCACAAGATGTGTTTCCTTAATCATACTTCCGCATATATTTAATTGAATGATATAAATTTTTGAAATATTTTAAAGACTTAGAATCTATTTGTTTTGAATAATTTGTGAAAATATATGTTAAGAATTTATTTAGGTTAATTTCTTTTAGGATAATCCTTTTGAGTTAGTTCTTGATTAACTATGGTTAGTGTGATGATATAAATTCTAATTTAGGGCACCCTTTACCATTCTTCATTTTCTTCTTTTTCTTTTCTTTGATTTTCAGTCTATTCACAACTAAATTATGTAAAAAAGGGCTATGTGTCACGGTGTGTAGCACAAAGAGATTCTCTCCCTTCAATTGTCATTTGTGCGCCATGGCGGACATGCTACATGCCGCGACATGTGGCACAGAGATATTTTTTCCATGCTTTCTCCTTCTTTTGATGCCTAGGTAACTCAATTTCACTTTAAACCCATAATTAGGACTAAAAATACAATCAAATACATTCATTTAGACCTCCTTGGCCACATACCAATCAAATCACTTAGCTATCATAATTAACTATAATTAATTTTCTTGGTAATCCAAGGATCAAAATTTGGAATATTCCAAAGAGGAGGAAAGGGGAGGGGAGAGAAGGTGAGGGTTTTAATATTACTTTATTTGGTTTTGTTAGAGGGGAGGAATTTTTAATGATCCTTTGTTTAGTTTAACAGGGGAGGTAATAACTAATTTACTATTATATCCCTATACATTAGTTTAAAATTTTTTTAATTGTTCCTTATAGAAAATAATTTTACACCTCAATTTAAATTGCATGATTTTTTTTAAAATTCACTCTCATCCCATCATATTCTTTATATGTGAATAAAAAAAATTAAACAAACAATTATAATGATAACAATTTGTATAAAAAATAAATAATTCTCTTAAATATATAATAAAATATGATGAACTGCATTTTTTTAAAAAAATTCAATGATAAAAAATAAATAACCCCCTTAAATATATAATAAAATATGATAAATTGCATTTTTTTCCAAAAAAGAAATCAATGAGATTAGTTGAGAATGGAGCACAATCTGATATAAAAGAGATTTTTTTTAACTATAAGTGTACTTAAAATATTAAAAAATATATAAAAGTAAAATAGTTAAAATGATTAGCTCCCCTTTAAAAAACCTCAATTTAAAGGAGAGCAATATGAGAGGAGGGGATGAGTTATTTTGGATCCCCTTCCCTCTAAAATTTTTTAATCAAATGAGGGGAGGGGAGCATCTTCCCTCCACTCCACTCACTCCAAAATTTTTCAATCAAACACATCATAACTGTCATTTTTCGTTTAAAATTTTATTGGGTAAGTTTTAAAGATCATGATAAGTAAACTGCTCACTTGTTCATTTAATTCTCCGCCTCCACTCACCCCCAAGAAAAACCTAAAAATATATTATACTAATCAAATCTTTGTCAAGTGACCTTTGTAATTATTATTATTTTCGTCCTATTTTATAAAATATTTTTAGATAAAATTATATATATTAATAAATTTTATTAACTACATTTTGACAACCTTACTTTTTTTAAAAAAATATTTTTTAAAAAAATATTTTTTATTTAATATTCTATTTATAAAAGAATATAAATGAAAAAAAAATATATTGAAAGTGTAACATCTAAAATATTAAAAATCACACTAGTCAATGTACTCATTCAAAAGTTAATAGTTAAAATTATAATTAAATTGTGATTAAGTCATTTATAAATAAAATATTTTATTAAAATAATTAAAATATTGGTTAAACTGTTTATCAATTCAATAAGATGAATTGATTCAAATTTTTATATTTTGATAATATTATTAAAAAAGCCTTATTAATCAAATATTATTTTTATAAAAATATTTTAATTAAATCTTATTAAAGTAATATTTAAATGGTATAAAAGTATTTTTTTGATTTTATTTATAAATCACTTCTATTAAATTTATCGATATTAATATAATAAAAATATAATAAATAAAAGTAAATAAAATTTTAAATATAATTTTTGAGTGAAAAGTAAACTGTAAATTATATAATATTATTTTATATTTTTATATTTTTTATTTTTTAAAAATAGTTTAAAAATTTTAATTTAAAATAAAATAAGTTTATTAATTAATTACTTATAAAGTAGATTAAATTATGTTTATAGAAGGTGATTCATGTTGAGAACCGAACCCGAGGGGTATTTTATTAGCTCCCTCTTGTGTTCGGTAGGAGAGGACCCCAGCTCGACATTCATCATTGCTTTTTCGGTCTGACATTCGTCGTTCACCTCTAAACCCTATTAAAAGATTAAAAATCATCCGCAGAGACCATAAAACCCCTCGATTTCTCAGTTAGGCGGAGAGAGAAGGCAAAGCCCCAACAATGGCGGACAAAGAGATGGAAGCGATTAAGGGTTTAGACCTCAACAGGTACATGGGGCGATGGTACGAGATAGCGTGTTTCCCTTCTAGGTTTCAGCCCAGGGATGGCGTCAACACCAGAGCCACCTACTCTCTCAAGGACGATGGCACTGTGAATGTGCTCAACGAGACTTGGAGTGCCGGAAGAAGAAGTTACATTGAAGGAATCGCTTATAAGGCTGATCCTAATAGCGATGAGGCCAAGCTCAAGGTCAAATTCTACGTCCCTCCTTTTTTGCCTCTCTTCCCTGTTGTTGGAGATTACTGGGTTTTGTTCATTGATGATGATTATCAGTACGCTCTCGTCGGCCAGCCTAGTAGGAATTACCTTTGGGTAAGCCAAATTCATCTTTCGGGCCTTGATTATTTCAAGTTTTGTATGAATCTGAGGCTGGAATTCAAGGTTTTCTGTGAATTTTATATATGGGAAAATTCCACATAGAGTTCCATCTCTTTATGTTTTGATCACCTTGATATTAAATATAATTTTTTGATTGACTTTAAAAATGAATCCGAGGATTAAAATAAGTTTAATAGATGGAGCACTTAGGGAAATATATTAAATAAATGTTAGATTACTGCTGCTCCGCTAATAATAAAATCAAAGGGCTATGGATCTCTGTATTTTTATATTTGTTCTTGAGGAAAACTTTTGATTGCATTTTGTTGTCGGTCTCTACAATTTTATTTTATTATTCTCAATCTTTTTAATGCTTTTAATTTGATCAGTTGATCTTTATAGTTTTAAAAATATGAGCACGAGCTTGAGCTGCCACGCCATCTGTAAATAATTTCTTTGGAAAGGGCTTGGGATCTCTGGGTTTTTATATTTGTTCTGAGGAAAAATACAACTGTTGCTATTTGTACTTTGTTTGGTTTTGTCAAGGATGCTCAGTAAATTTAATTTTTTTTTTAAATATTAGTATTAGGATTAGGTACTAAGAAAATTGTTTCTTTTGTCAATGTTCTTTGTGCATATCTGACCATAACATTAGAGAATTTTTTTTAATCAACTAAAATTTAGGTGAATTGAGTTTTAAAAATTCACCAACATCAAGGTATGTCACCAAATTCAAAAAGTGCTTATAGTAAATTTTTTTTATCTCAGGTATTATGCAGGAAGACTCATTTGGATGAGGAGACATACGAGGAGGTTGTTGAGAGGGCAAAGAATTGGGGATATGATGTAAGCAAACTCCACAAGACACCCCAGAGTGATCCTCCACCAGAGGAGGAGGGACCCCAAGATACCAAAGGTATTTGGTGGCTCAAATCCTTACTGGGAAGATAGGTCTCCATGCGGTTAGAGATATGCTTCCATTTCATGTAATAAATTGGAATCCAGAATCTTGATGGAGCAAGTTTGGATCTTCTTGGTGCCTCTATTGGGTTTTTTCTGTATGTATGTTTATAAATATGGTGTAAGTACCAAGTATTATTATATGCATATTTGGTTAATGAAAAAAAAATGGTACATTGTGTTTTAAATTGAAATTACACTCAGATAACTTTCTAATTTTAATTTATGATATAGTGGTACATAGTTACAGTCAAAACCTTGACAACGCTATTTAAATCACCTGGTAATCATGGCATGTGAACGCACTTCAAACCATTCTATTAGGCCATGCTTGAAATTATTACTCCAACGCTTTGCTCTCGCCCTAGATTAACTAAAATATGTCTATATATGTTCACAGAATCAAAAACTGTTGTACTGTATTTTGTAAAAGCTCTACAGATATATCTGAAATAAATTAAGGGGCAAGTATTAACGCCTTGAAAGATGAACTCACAACCTATCACTTACATATTACTAGGTTATATGACCATTGACAAAACCTTTATAGATATATTAATACATCATTGAAAGAATATAGTCTCTAGTCCCTAAAGTTATGGACGGTTAAAGGCTCTTTATTTTTTTTAATTAAGAAACCAACTCTTAGAATTGTAATCTTCATTTAATGAAAAGCTAATTTTTTTAATGAAAAATGTAACACTTGCCCTGAGTGTTATCCAAAAATCACACAATTCAAATAAACTAAGTGTGGTTAAGGAGTTAATCCTAAAACCAACTTAGGAAACAAACCATTTAAATCACTAAGCAAATATACGATTGCAAAGTAAACATTTAAAACCTTAAAAAAAATTATAGGTTCTAACTATAGCGCATGGAAGCAAATTAGATGAAAGAGAAATAAAAAGATACTGTCATGACAGCATTTAAATTGCTGTCATGACAACCCTCCCGAGTCAACTTCTGGGAGGCGTCGTTCCGCCATCCGACCTCCAATCAAAGTGATTTTAAAGCTCACACGTCACATTCAAAGGGTACTATAAGTATACCAAATTTCAAAAAGATCCAACGGTCGGATTTAAAATTAGACATGTTAAAAATTTGATTATTTTTGCTGTCATGACAGCTAAAAAGCTGTCATGACAGCACTTCGGACCAACTTTCGGAGTGCACCATTTCATCATCTGACCTCCGATCGGAGTGATTCCAAAGCCCACATGTCACTTTTAAAGAATACTATTAGCATACTAAATTTTGAAAAGATCCAACGGACGGATTGAATTTTGTGCAGGTTATAAAATCAATACTGTAGCTGTCATGACAGCAATTTAATGCTGTCATGACAGCACCTCCAGACCAAATTCCGGAGTGCGTCGTTTCTCCGTCCGATATCCGATCGACGTGATTCCAAAGCCCACACGAAGCTTATAAAAGGTTTTACTTGTGACCCAAATTTTAGAGAAATCCAACGGTCGGATTAAGATTTGGACACCCTAATGCAAAAGTGCAGCTTTTTGGTAAAAACCATTTTCAAAATTGTCCAAATCCCATCCTAATGGTCACAAACTTGTGGAAACACTTTGGACACGTCAAATAAGATTAAAAACACCTGATAGAACATTCAAATGATGGAAAACCCCATACATCAAAATTTGACCACCCGGGTGCCATTTTCCAAAATGGACCCTAAACCCCCAAAATGCACAAATCATACAAGAGTGGTCACAAATCAATCCAAATACCATGTATTTATATAAATACATATGCTAAACATTTTTACTTGGCTCAGAGCTCCTTGTGGGGCCCACACACCCACTCTCTCTATCCAAGCTATATGTTTGCCCATAGCACACCATTTGCAATGCAACCACTTTGCATTTGCTTATAAAATCACATATATATCAAAATAAAGATCTGCTTGTAATAGAAACTTGGTCTACTAAGTAAATCCATCAAGACCACACACCATAACCAAGTTTCCTAGCCACAAGTCTGCAAACAGACAAAAATTCATACACAAGCACACAATCCACACATATTCACACACACACACATAATCATATCCTACTGGCACCCTAATCTTAAATACATTACAATATATTTGCTCAAAAGAAAGGGGTTGCAGTTCTTTACAAATCACAAGCAAACCCCTAGCTTTGCTCCTTTCCCCGTCCACCACTGGATCCTTCGCCTGGACCTAGAATATTGAAAAGAAAGGGGTGAGACAACCACAATCTCAGTAACAGCGAAATTTACATTGATTATTACAAAGTAAGCCATAATCAAATAAACGAATAATAAATTCAACATAGTATATAATTTAGCCATTTAAAATGCATGAATGCATGGCCTAGGTCGGTATGGCCTTTCATGACCAACAGAATGCCCCCTGGCACTCTTTAACTCGCAGGTAAACCTTATACCTACTTGTACCTCCACAGGCACAAAACATAATCTAAGGCATGATCTAATCCACCGAACCGCCTATGCCCCTTCGACGTGAATCCTGAGCAGTCAAAGCTAACTCCCTCCCAGAGCCAGCCCGACTTACTCTCCATGTGAAGGCTACCTTAGCCTAGGCACTCAACCTCACACTTCATATGTCGGATTCCCTCCCCCACTGAGAGGTGTCGAACACTCAATACACTAACCACTTTAGTGCATTGAGCCCACAATACGTAAGACAACACTGAGTACTGACAGTGTGCCATAGAATATCAAAAATCCACACCTTCTCATTGGTGAACTCCCACCGAGATCATGCCTTTTACTCTTGTCTACCTTTCCTGAGTATTGACCATTCAACACTCTAAAGTAGTATAATATTTATAAATCTCATTTCCATAAAAACATTATTATTAAACAATTAGAAAACATATTTGCACTATAATCGAAGTAGTACCCCATAACCCCTTATAAAGCACATTTAATCTTTTAAAACATGTAATGCATGATAACTAGTAATATTTATTCAAAAATAGCTAAAACAAAGTAATAAGAAATATAAATTCCCCTGTTACCTCAACCCTTTGGTACTAAAAGGTTCCCCTTGTACAAAATAGAGCTCGGCTTGTTCCTTACTTCTCAATAAGTTCCACCAACAATTTTCTATCGTGTAGCCGAGCTCGCAACGGTCGCAAAGACTCCTAGATCCGAGCCTAACTCCCTCTCTTTCTCCTTTCTTCTTCCTCTCTCTCTCTCTCACTCTCCCGTTTGTGCGTTTCCTTCCCTTGTTCATTTTCTACGTTTTCTGCATCTGTTTGCTCTTTAAAATGCTGGTCAAAAAGTTTGGAGAAAATTACAAGAAAGGGCCCAACATTTTTTATTATTGCACAAAAGCTCGGGTCAACTTTGATAATTTTTTCCCATAGTTAAAAATCAAATAAAACCAAACTTTTGCTTAGTAAAATTCAAACTCTGGGCCTCTATTAAATTATTCTAAATTTTAATTTAATTATAGATATTTTATTTTATTTTTATTTTTTTTAAATAAATTTGAGTCTTAAAATTTTTAGGAAGTTACAAAAAAGACTACAAGGAGACTTCATAGCTCTAGAGAGAAAAACTAAGATTTCGTTTGATATAATGAAAGAATTTTTGATGAAATTGAAATTGAAATCAAAGTAGGAATTGAAATAAAATTGAGTTATAAATATATGTTTAATATGAAAATAAAATTTAGATATAATATTAATAAATATACATACCTAAAATAGATAAAAACCAAAATGCCCTTATAAAAATTAAAAGCAAAAACTCAACCATCATCATCTGCAATCATAACATCGATTTTAAAAAACACCATTAACACACACCATCGAACCATAGATTTGAAGAACGAGCATGCGCCTTCAATTTTATTTTCCCTCTTAGGTCCAAGATGCTTGACGATGGCTGAGATGCTTGTGAAAGTAGGAGAAAATGCAATGGGTAGCTGTATGGTCAAGGCATTGCCAAGGTCTTATGGTAGGAGGAAGGTGGCCATTTGGCCAAGATGTTACTGGGTTGACAGCAAAGGTGAGGAGGTTCAACAAAGGTGAGCAGTTAGGACTAATGGTGGGGGGAGAGAGAAAGAGACAGAAGGGGGGTTACAAACGACAATTCCATGGAATTGTCCAGATTCTATCATGATAGGGATGGAATTGGATTCTGAGTATTTTGACAGAATTATAATTCATAAGGAATTTGGATTCATGCAAACCATTGAAAGTATGATTTCAATTCCAATTCCATTTCTCCTAAGCCAAATCCTAATGTACCAAACATGGCCTAAGTTTTCTCCAAATTAATTATTAATTTGTTCAATCACAAAACATGGTATTATGCTAGTATCAAATAATTGTTCCTTCTTTATAAGTTTTTTTTTTTAAATGAAAACTACACTTAGATAACTTTCTAATTTTAATTTGTGATATAGTAGTACTCCCTCCAATCCAAAATATAAGCATTTCCTCTCAGCTAATTTTAATTCAAAATATAAGCAACCTAATACAATAAAAAAAAAATTCCATTTTACTCTTTGTATTTATTAGCTTAGATATTTGTGTAAATGTATCCCTCACTCACTATAAAGTACATTGATAATTAAGATTATAAATAAAAAGAAAGAATAATATATATTTTTATGGGAATGAGAACTTTATTAATATACAAATTTTTTAAAAAAAAATGCTTATATTTTGGGCCGAGAGTACATAGTAACAGTAAAAACCTTGACAACACAAAATGATTCTATTTAAATACCTGGTAGTCATGTCATGTGAACACACTCCAAACCATTCTATTATGTCATGCTTGAAGTTAAGGGGAAATACCAACATGCTATATAGGACCAAGATACTATAAAAGAAAAAATATGTCCCAAGATGCTATAGAACCACAAATCCATTTGATAGGAATTAAAGGGTTCATTTGGATTCATCACATCTAACTTTTTAAAAGTATATTTCTATATTTAAATAGTCAAGTATTATTTAATTACTTTAAAACTATTCAAAATAATTTTCTAAAAGCACATTCAAAAGCAACCATAATGTGAATTTGCCAATATAGCTTAGTGAAGCTTTTCAAAATCACATTCACATTTCCTTCTGTTAAATTGCTCCCTCACATGTCCGAAAAGTGACCCATTTGCATGTGATTTGATAATTTGTTATGTTCAATTACACGGCACCACACAAGCAACAATTATTTT